AGGAGTTTTGCAAAAACTGCAGAAAGTTACCTAAAATAAAGTGCTTAAATAATTAATAGATAAAAAAATAAAGTTTTATTAATGAATTTAAAACTTCATTGAATTATGAAAAAGTTGAGGCTTTAACGGCCGACGTTATCTGAAAAGGGCTTGATGACCATGGTACGAGATTAGTTAATTGGTTTATTTTAATTTAACATTATGGGCGTGTTTTTTCTATTTATTAAATTTCATCTTTGAGTAATAAACAGTTAATATGAATATGTTTACAAACTCGTCAAACTTTTTTTACGATAAATCATATGACACTTAAAAATGATCTAATTATGAAGATTTATGTAGATTTACAAAAGACGCTTAATTTTAAAATCATTAGCAATTTTAATTTTATGATTTAATTAACAGAATATTTTTTCATTTATTGACCAGCAATTTACATTTAGTTTTCTCAGAGAAGATACATGAACTCATAATCATTGCAAATATTTTTTTATCACATGCATTAAAAATCTATTGCTGGAAGATATTTTTTGATGAATATTATTAATTTTTTCATTAAATCGTGTTTTATAAAGGATGTTTTTCGATAGTTTGACGATTAATTTAACAGTTTAATTAAAATATTTCTTACCCATCCTCCATTGGCTGCGATCCAGTCTGCTAAGCCACCCTCTAAAATTTCAGACATTGCTTCCATTAAAGCATGCAAATATTCAGGATGTCCTTGACAAACTGAATCAACAGCTAGGCCTCCGGATACAGCATATATTGAAACTATTTTGGCCCAATTTATTTCACTTTTGAACAATTCGTGACTTATAGCAACAAGAAGTCCAGCTGCTGTTTTCTCAGTTACCAAAACTCCACCGGGTGTTGAACTAGCTTGACGAGCTATATCAGTGTATAATTTAGAATGAATTCTTTCTAATTCCATTCCTAAAAAGCATGAAATATGTTCACTTTAAGACCATGTTGTCTGTCTTAACGACCTTAGTCTAGGTGTATTTCTCTTTTGGAATCCTCAGGGAACGTCGCAGTCTCAGTACAATTACAACGAAGGACATTACGTCCTTGCAACGTTCCTTGAGGAGGTAATTGACGAAACGCTAGATAAAGTTATTCAAGAAAAAGAGGTCGTGAATGCCTGACTTTTTTTTCATCAGTTATTATGCTTAAGATTACATATCAACATTAGAAGAATTTCTTTCGAAAATGTCCTGCGTAATACCAAAGGGTGAAATGTCGACAAAGAATGTTAATTTACTATGGAAGCCTGTGAAACTGTTGTTTGAATGTTGGTGTAGATGTTTCAGAAGAAAGGAACCAAAATAGTCCTACCCAGATGACCCCTCAAGAACTAAAAGGTTTTACTTTATATTTTATGAGGAAATTTGAGACTTAAAGGTAGTTAGGTAGAAGCGGGCTGAGTCTATCTGTTAATAAATTTTCAACTACAAAATCATTTGAATAAAATTTTTATATTATAATGAAAACACGGATACCGGGTAGATACATAAATAACAGCAGACACATATGTATATGTGCTTCGTTTACTTTATGGACATTCTCAACCCGAAACGGGTTTTTAGATTTTAGATATTCAAATGTAATATACGTAGTACATATATATAATTACTACCCTATTATTAGGTACTAGTAATAATTAAACAAAGCGGAGTTTGAATATAAAGAACTTGGGAACTACACTAATGCTATATACTATACTATAGTTTTATCATTTTTTAAGATTTGCCTAGGAAAGATTGAAATTAATTACATAAGTAACTCATTTTGAAAATGTTAAGCAAATAATTATGTATATGAGATATAAAAATTATACTTGACTTGACTTCTGTATAGTTCAAAATTTTTCTTTATCTTATAGTCGTTGAACATTTCAATCAAAAATTCCATCGCGTGGTAAAAGAAATAAAATTAGCATATTATATTACTGCTGACAACCTCCTAACTCTTATTCATGTCTGTAAAGTCCCATTAGCCCGTTCAGATAGAAAGGTAATTTTTTATTAAGAGTCTTTTAATAGAAATGGTAAAAAACTATGAAGGTAATTTACCTGCAGCAATTAAACAAGGGTACACTTCTCTGATAGTTGTTCCACTCGTTGTACCAATCATACTTCTCACTCTGTATAGTCCTAGTTTCTTATTAAATATCCCGGTCCTTTTTAATCTATTTCTCATATAAATAGCGCATAATACCTAAAATGTAAAAAGATCAAATTTCTACTTACGATTAGAAAAATATTGGTAATCACGAAATGTTGACTGGGCCAATAAATTCATTATACTCCTAAAGAAAATTGAAACTAATTACGTTCAGTGTACAAAAAAAGGAAAAAGTAATTTTTGAGGTTTGTCTGTTCGAGAGTGAAATGTTATTAAAAATGTTTTCACTATTCCAATTTACAAATTAATCCAAGGTAAGTCAATCCAATAACAGCATTTTACCTTTCCTTGAGTAATTACTTCATCGAGACTAACAGCAGAAGATCGCCAACCGATTGTGTTTGATAATTTTCTAGATACAACATCCCCAACATTACTAAATCTTCTCTTAGCTATTTGATTAACTTCCCTAAGTGGTTCATTGTTTCCACCTTGAGAAAGACCAAGCAAATTAGCATGTAAAGCTGCAGGAAAACTGTACTTCCTTCTATTGATAGCCGATTTTCCTGAAGTTAATCTTGAAATTGTTGGAGTTTCGAAATTAACTTTTCTGTCTGATGTAGGGGGATTTCTATTAGCCATAAGGGTGACGAAATATACCACTAATGGACGGATAATAAAAACTTAAAAACATCATCTGTAAAAAGTTATGATTAATTTTATTATTGTTTGTTAATTACTTAGGTATATCTATATTTATATGTAGCAGATTCAGCGTGTAGTAAATATTCCACCAATGCAGTTTATCTATTAGAAAAAAAAGTATTGCATCAACTAGGAATCGAACTTCGGCCGCTCATGTGACAGGCGAGCATTTTAATTATTAAATTTTACCTGCCTTAACGGGAGTATACAGGGTGATTTTTATTTTGTATATAAGTAATTATTGTGAGATATCCTACGTTAAATTTCGACGTTCTCATATTAAAATACAAGATGCACGTCTACAATTTTTGACTGACTTCGAAACAATGAACGAAAATCGATTTGAAAACTGTTGGTAAAAATAACGGTTTCATTAATAAACTTAATAAATGTGAACAAAGTGGAAGCCAAAAGAAAGGACAATAAATCAACGAAGAAATTACTTTACCCAATTACCTAATCGTTTACTTTTAAACATGAAGTCATATATAAGATTTGTATGTACATAGATATGTAATACACGCAAGTTTTATCTGTTTCGTATGAGTTTATTATTATGCAGCTGTTCTTTGTGCTTTCCTAATCAGTATTAAGGCTGAGTAATGATTACTTGTGTATATGTATATGGATTAAAATAACATTACAATAGATTACCAAACATGCGTCAGGAAATGTTCAAACATGAGTATGGTGATGAACACATCGTGTGGGTCCAAAAGGGACATCTAAACGGAAAAGTTTAAAAAATACAGTCAAAACCGTTTACTACGGCATCGTTTAGAACAACGTACCGGTTATGTTGACCAAAATCATAGGTCCCGGCTTAATTCTATTAGACCGTCTTATAAAAAACACTGGTTTTAACGACATTGCTTATTACGACATATCTCTTTAACCGACTACATTTAAATGATATTTTTGGAGAATTATATCTGTTAGAACGACCAGTTGTATTGTAAACATTTGAATAGGTAACAGTATCTACATCTGGTACAGTAAATGACCGTTAAGATCGCAAAAGTAAACAAAAACGTGTCGAGTTTAGGGTCTATTGTGATTCTCAGAATATTTGCTACTGAAGCTAAGGACTTTATTGATGTAGATATGATGATACATTAATCAAAATTAAACGTGAACTACAAAGTCTGTATGCACTACAGAAGTGTTCCAAACAGACTACATTTCCAGATTTTATTAATATAGAAAAATGATAATTATATGTACAAATTGTTTTTTATTCTAATGAACAGTTTCATATGCAGGGAAATTATGATGATACATTAATTAAAATTAAACGTGAACTACAAAGTCTGTATGCACGACAGAAGTGTTCCAAACAGACTAAAATTCCAGGTTTTATTAATATAGAAAAATGATAATTATATGTACGTAATGTCTTTTTATAATACGTTTTATGTAAAATAAATAAAATGTAGTTTTATTTTATATATGAATATATTGATCACACATTCAATAATAGGTATTAAGTACATAATAACAACGGCCCGGCTATTACGACTATCGGTTTTTACGACCAAATATGAGTAGTCCCTTCGGTGTCGTTGTAACAGATTTTGACTGTAATACCGAACGCAGAATTAAAATTTTTAAGGGATCGCGAAAGTCATGTAAAACCATCATGAATTTCAATATCGGGTCATTTAAAACATTAAGTCATCTAGGTAGTCCTCGAATTTTAATCGAAAAGGAATTAATTAAAATTTACATACCTATTGTAATTTTAAAGTATCAAACGGTTTTCGCATCATGAGTAGATACGATATGTATACAGGATAGATATAATTGCAAAATGTTTAAAAATTTATTTAACTTTTAATTTTTCGAAATTGAAACTATGTAGGTAGTTAAGCATGAACGAAAATCTTGTTTGTTGAGTGTTTTCATGGACAACGTTATATAATTAGTTAACATAAAAATTAATTCGCGTCAAAGCGACGATACACGTTTAAATGTTGTTTAAGAAGTCATTACTTATGTTTATACACACATACGAGTTTTTGCACAAACAACATTCTGTTTTAATTACAACAGTGTTTGTTCTTCTTTATTATGGATAATAAAAAACAATTTAAAAAAATTACACTGCATTTACCGACGACGCTACTTCTAAATTACCGTTACCATTCGATACTTACGATTAGCAATAAGCAAGTTAGGTATTATGTGTAGCACTATTAATTAATTAAAACGTTCGCTAATTTAGCGCGCTTTAGAAATAATGTTCTATCTCTTATCAGTAGTTCTTATTGGCCAGTTAAAATATCAATAAATATTCAGGACTGTTTTTACATATCGCGTAAACTATAGAAAATAAACACTATAAAAACAATTTTTGTACAGATAAGTCAACAGTTAATTTACAATAGGCACTGCCGTTTCAACTTTGATAACATTCTTACTTAGATCGTAAATTTAACAGTAAAAATTTATTAGAATTGCACTGTTAAATATAGGTATGTGAAATTAAATCTAAGTACACCTATATATAGCAACTTACCTAATTACAATTACCTACTTCTCTTTTCTTTAACACATTCACATATTTTTTAAACAATTAAATGCAATTAGATATATACAAGTTATCAACCGAAGTGATTATTAAGTATTTATAAACACCTTAACTTACGCGCATGATTTTATGTACTTATTTATAAAAAATTTGTCAAAAGTTCTCAACATAAGCAATTCATTCTTGTTAGGGCAATAAAATTTTCAGCATCACGTAAAACAGCGAAATTTTGTAACAAATACGTACTTATAATCTTTTATTTGCCGGTGAAAATTCTAAACACGTTACTTCTGTAAAGATCGTTTTTGGACTGTATTGTATAAACCTATTGATACCTACGAACTGTACATATCAAGGTGTAGACATGCTTCAACTGTTATTATATGTTAGCCTCGTTTACTGTTGATGTTGGCGCGTGTACCTGTGTATTAATTAAGTTCTTTATTCAAAAGTATGATCCACCTCAAAAAAATCATCAGAATGTTTATTATTTTGTAAATTTCAAATCGGTTTTTGGGTTAATACGATTTTAATGTTGGCATTCGCCCTTATTGTTTTTTATTAAATATAAGTACCAACTAATTTTTATCTTAAAAGTATTGTGTTCACTTTGTTTTATAAAAAGATTTAGTTGCCTGTAAATAATCTGAATATGTACATGCGTAAGCCAAGAATAAGAATTCAGAACAGTTGCTGTAGTACGAAATCATTTAATAAGGTATTTTCTTTCTAAAATTTTCTTAACACTGATAAGTTTGAGTCACGTCACTCTTTTAATATAGTAGATTCAGTTTAAAAAGGTTCTTATATATAACAAGCAATGTATTTATTGTAAAAAAAGTTAATAATATGATGAGTAAAATAATTGAGTATTTTTAAAATTCAAAATGTCTTACGATTAATTTGAAATTTACATTACAACTGCCCTCTATGTTCGAAGTATGCAATTAAGTACCCCAAGTAACTTCAAAAGGAAGATCTCTTTTTTGAGGTTTGTATTTTGAATAAGCTATAATTAGCTAATTATGATTATGACAACACAACACACAACAGAGCAAGAATGGTTATGACGAAAACAATAAGAAAGTTAATTTTCCGTTTAACTTAAAGTGTTCGCGTTTGTAATTAAAGTATTTGCATTTTATTATTAATAACCACCACTGTTGCAAAGAATTTGTGCAAAAATACGGATACTTTAGTGCTGTAGTAAATTGTATTACGCGTGAAGTTGCAATGATAAATAGTGAAATTCAAATTACGTTTTGTTATATTTAATTAATTTCATTATATATCTCAGTTTTTAGCAAAATGGATAGTGATATTCTTACAACTTTAAAAATCTTGATTATTGGAGAAAGCGGAGTTGGAAAATCAAGGTAATCTTAATTTGATCATATAATATTTAATGTTAATTATTTTTTTGTTTGTACTTAGCTTGCTTTTGCGTTTTACTGAAGACAATTTTGATCCAGAACAAACACTTACCATTGGTGTAGATTTTAAGACAAAACGACTTAATATCAATGGTGATACAGTAAAACTTGCAATATGGGATACTGCTGGACAGGAACGTTTTCGAACTTTAACCCCCTCATACTATCGAGATGCCCAGGGTGCTATCCTCGTCTATGATGTTTGCAATAGGATGACTTTTGTTAAACTCGAAAATTGGCTAAGTGAATTAGAAATGTATTCTACAAAGAGTAATATTATTAAAATGATTATTGGTAATAAAATTGATCGAGAAGAGAGAGAAGTCAGTAGAGATGAAGGAGTAATTTTTGCAAGAAAACATCAGACTCTTTTTGTGGAAACCAGTGCAAAAACTAAAGATGGGGTACAGTGTGCATTTGAAGAACTTGTTGAAAAGGTACTTCAAAATAATTAATTTTTACATATTGGTTTTCAGAATAAATTTAGTATTGTAGAATACTTTTAAGATGCATAAACATTACTTCAAAATGTACAGTTGCAATTTTTCAACCCAATTACAGGGATCCAAATGTCTTCTCCTTTTCATCTTTTTACAACTTATGCTGTTTCAGATTATTCAGACCCCTGATCTCTGGGACAGTTATTCTCCACAGAATAATGTTCATGTTGGATTGAAGGATCACCCTGAGGATTCATCATGTAGTGGATATTGTGATTTGCTTTAGTAGAACTAGTTTTAACTTTATCCTTTACTGAAAAAATGTATATACATTAATGCATAATTGTATTTAAAATCTTGTCATTTATCTTTTTCTTTTAAAGTTCTAGTGAATCAGTATGTTTAAACATTCAGTTAACTACTGTATTATGATTTATAAGAAAATTATCTCCATTCCAGATAATTACTTAATTGGCCAGTTAAAATATCAATAAATATTCAGGACTGTTTTTACATATCGCGTAAACTATAGAAAATAAACACTATAAAAACAATTTTTGTACAGATAAGTCAACAGTTAATTTACAATAGGCACTGCCGTTTCAACTTTGATAACATTCTTACTTAGATCGTAAATTTAACAGTAAAAATTTATTAGAATTGCACTGTTAAATATAGGTATGTGAAATTAAATCTAAGTACACCTATATATAGCAACTTACCTAATTACAATTACCTACTTCTCTTTTCTTTAACACATTCACATATTTTTTAAACAATTAAATGCAATTAGATATATACAAGTTATCAACCGAAGTGATTATTAAGTATTTATAAACACCTTAACTTACGCGCATGATTTTATGTACTTATTTATAAAAAATTNTTATAAATGCTTATACCTATCAGAATAAAAATACTTGAAAAAGAGTGAATGTTATATTGATTCATTAAATGTACAACTTTCATTTATCTGATCTGAATTTCACGTGTGGATGATATTCCAATATGTTACCTAGTATAAAAAAAAAGTATTGCTACGATCGGAAGGCGAACTCGGAAAACCCCCGTAGCAGACAAGCTTTTAATTGCAAATTAATTTAAATTAATATGACAATACTTATAGTTACACAAACAATTTTTGTTTTATACACATTATGGTACAGTACCTGTTGAAAGATATGTTTAATTCATCCCTTTTTATAATAAACGCCGAGAAAACGTTGAACAAACCTTGAGGTTCAAGTATTTATAAATAAGATTTTAGATTGCAAACACTAGAATCATAATACAATTTTTTTTTTATTTAGACTTTTGTTTTTATACAATTAAAAAGAATGCAGGTGCTTTTTATTGTTGAAATACCTACCGTAAATGCTGCTGTTTATCGAATTTATTTTACATTAATTTATTGAATTTCATAAATACTGCGGTAGTTTTGGAATTATGTGCCTTTACAAAAGTATGTAAAATGAAAAGTAATACGAATATTCATTAAATGAAATATCATTAGCCTTTCATAATCTTAAGAAAACAATACGAGCTAGAGTATTAATTCTATGCAGTAAAAGAGAATGATAATTATATTCGTAATGAATATGTATTACAAAATATGTTTTGTCAAATTGTGCAGAGAGGAATAACATCTAAGATAACATTCATATTTTCCTTCTGATAACACATCATGACAAATAATTTAATGTAGTAGTGAATTTAACGGTAAGATATGCAGAAGTCCAGAAGAGCGGTTTTTATTTTAAATCAAATCTTTGCCAATAATTATACCAATTTTAATAATAATGCTAACGTAAGTTATACTGCATATCAGTCTGCAATGTTTTATCTCTACTTTGTTATAGTTGTTTCGTTTGGAACGTAATGGAATATTTTTTAAAAGGAACTTCTTTTTGGCAAGAACAGTAAATGCTTTAGTTCAATTTAATTTAACAGATATAGGGGAGGGTATCACTGAAGTTGTCGTAAAGGAGTGGTTTGTTAAGGAGGGTGAACAAGTATCTCAATTTGATAATATTTGTGAAGTTCAAAGTGATAAAGCTTCTGTTACTATTACAAGTCGATATGATGGAATTATTAAAAAATTACATTATCAAGTAGATGACACTGCTTATGTGGGAAAACCATTAATTGATATAGAGACAAAAGAGGGTAAGTAACTCAATTGATTTATATAAATGTCAGGTTTTGCGATTAACAACTTTAAAGAAAAAAATTCGAGATTGTAAAATATAAATTCACAAATTCTTCGAATAAATTTTTGTTTGTTTTGAAATTTAACTAGTAAAAATATTTAATTTGAAAATTTTCAATTTAAAACAATGAACAAGGTATTAACGTGTTTTTGAAGTAATATTCTCAACAGTAGAAATAATTACTATATTAACATATTGCTTTTGAGATTTCTTGGATATCTACAATCATATTGAATTTTACAGAAATAAATAATGAAGAGAGAACAAAAAAAGTGAATCCTCTGGAAGTAAAACAAAATGTTAACACGAGTAAGTTATTTTTTATATTCTATCTATAATTCTTCCATATTAATAAAGAAACTTTAGATTTAATTTCAGAATCAACTGTTCAAACCGAACAATTACAGAATAGCACAGTGCTGTCTTTGCCTTCTGTGAGGAGATTAGCCAAAGAAAAAAATGTAAAGTACACATCTTACATTGTCTTTCTAATAATAACAGTTTTGAAAAACTTAGGTTGATTTGTTAAAAGTGATCCCAACCGGCAAGGGAGGTAGAATATTAAAAGAAGATGTTTTAAAATATATTGGAGTTCAAACTGTGTCCAAAAATGAAAAAGAAAAAATTATTCCACTAACAGGTTTTCAACCAGCTATGTTTAAAGCGATGACTGCTGCTCTGGTAATTTTTGCAAAATATCGCTTATTGTGTACTCATTATGCCAAATGAAATCACAGTATATATATACTCGATAGTGTAAATCAGCAAAACTATATTGTTCACACCATCGATTTGTTCAAGGGATGTTACAGTTAAAATGTAATAAATGTATATAATTTATAAAATAAACTTATATACATATGTGCTCAGTAAAAGGCAGACACAAACACATAACTGTAATAAAATATTATTTTTTCTTAACTGAATTACTGTAATGAAATTATGACCAACAGTTTTTTTATCACTTCATATGATTGTCTACAAATTCATTATCATACTAATTCCACTCTAACACACCCAAATATCGATTTCTAAAGCCAATCGATATCTGTACCTATAAGTGAAGATTTAGTTCATTAACGGTTTTCAGTGGCAGTTCACATTATGCGGGGTTACCACTTTGCGGTGTTCACACTATCGAGTGTCTTCTGTCATTTTTACTACCTTATATGATGTACAAGTATTTTTTTTAGAAAATTCCGCACTTGGTGTATTGCGAAGAAATTACCGCTACAAAGTTATTAGAAGTTTTAAAACTAACTAAAAGGGAATATGAAGAATCGAAAATAAAAGTAACATTAACGGCGTTTTTAATTAAAGCTGTTTCAAATGCTTTACAAAAATATCCGATTTTAAACGCCTCCATAAACGAAGACTTCAAATCCCTTACTATTAAACATTACCATAATATAGGAGTAGCTATGGACACAGCCCAAGGTTTGGGCGTTCCAGTAATAAAAGAAGTTGAAAATAAAGATATAAAAACGATAGCTCTAGAATTGGAAAAACTGTCTAAGTCTGGCAAAAAAGGGAGTTTTAGTAAAGAAGACCTAAGTGACGGAACATTCTCTCTATCAAATATAGGATCGGTATAGTTTTACTGTCGTGATATTAATATATTGTGATAAGAGAACTTATTTTGCATTTCAGATTGGTGGAACTTATGCAAGTCCAGTAATTTTACCTCCACAATTAGGAATTGTTGCATTCGGCACAGTAAAGGTAAAAAATAAATAAACAAAATACAGGTACGAAATAGAAGTACGGATAAATTACCTTATGATCATTAATTTACAGGTGCTACCAAGATTTAATGACAAAATGGAGGTAGTAAAAGAGTCAGTTTTGTGGATTAGCGCTTCCGCTGATCATAGGGTAATTGATGGAGCAACGATAGCTCGTTTTGTAGAGACTATAAAAAGGGAAATTGAAAGCCCACAAGGTTTAATTGCAGTTTGAAATGTTATCTTTAAGAAAATCAGATCTTTGAAATTAATTAAATGAACATTGCAATTTATGATTGTTTATGTATCAAAGGATGATTGAAATCAAGTTTTCTTAAGTTATTTATAGAGGGAATTAAAAATGATGCAATAGATGAATTTAAAAAGTTTTAACCACTACGTTAATTTTTATTGATTTAAATTCAATATAATCAATGAAAACAAATAGTTTTGTCCCAAAAAGAACATTATCTACCATTATTTGATAATATACATACATAATTACCAATTTCTCATTTNAAAGACTACATGAAAAAGTGAGTTCAAGGCTGTACTTTTATTTTCTTGTTCAGCATGGCTTGTTTTAAGTTTCTTTTTAGCTCGTATGTCTGCCATTGTCTGCTCTATAGAACGAACATCTTTCTTGTTTTCACTAGGAACTAAAGAAAAACTTATGAAAAGAATTATTGAGGATCTTGAATAACAAGAGTTTACCAAATCCGTATGTTCTATTAGTTTCTGTTTTCTTTGCTGCTTCTAATGCAGCTTCAGAACCAATAAGGTGGACATATTTGTCTTTGTAATTAAAATTAGGAATAATTTTTGTAGGCTGTTTTTTAGATTCTTCCAGCAATTCTAGCTTTTCTTTTTCTCTCTGGAAAATATTTATAATAAACATAAACATGATTATGATTATTACAATATATAAAATATAAACACACTTTTTCTAAAAGTTGCTGCTTTATTTGGTTATTCCAAGGTTCACCTCTTCTTCTTGCAGCTAATTCATCTTCACATGGTGGACATTCCCTTCTGTAAACTCGAACATATCTATCTAGACCATCTGTTCCAAAAGCATACGTTAAAAAACCTAGCCCTTCTGCAACTTCATGACTAAAATGTATGTATTTAAAAAAAAAAAAGAACAAGTCGTTCCTTAACTTACATAACACTTCTATGAATTTGATCCATGGGAGTGAACTTTAAGTTATTATTTGCAATATCTTTAAAATAACTTAAAATCTTTGTTTCAACTCTCTCTTTAAATTGTTTTAATCTTTCTCTTTCTGCAAGCTGTCGCTTTTCTATTTCTTCCTTTCTTTCTGAAATTGGAAATATTTTCTTTACAAAATTTAACACAACCATTTAAAACTCACTTTTGATTATCATTTTTTCCTTTTCTGTAAGAGATGGAGGTTTCTCCATCGAATTCATGATAGATCCCAACAAATCCATTTTTTAAAATGAAAATTCTTTGACAAGGAAAGACTATGGCTTTTTTAGATTTGCTTCTCGTATAATATAATGTGGAGGATACTATACACAATTTGCTTAATGATATAATGAGTGGTAGTCTCAGCAAAGTGTACTATTATGATTTTACGTGCACGAAAATTTACGTTGGTGTTACAAAGTAATTCCTACCATACAACAGCAATTTATTGCGACATTATTTGAAAACAAGTAAGACACTTTAGGAAATTATGGAGTGATAAATTAATAGGAAGAAGTTAATTTAATCCTATTATTACTATTTAACCACTTGAAAAGTTTACAACGCCAAATAATAACAACAATAATATTACAAATTTACCACCACAGTCTGTCAATTTAAATGACATTAACATAAAGCGGTAGGTGTGACATCTACCAGTTTTTTCTAAAATAAATTGTTGAGAGAAATCTTTCAGGTCTCGTTTATTCACAGTTACCTTTTATCAAATTTTTTTAAATCGGTTCGCGGGAAAATTATTTTTTAAATATTAACTGAACTAATAAAACTTTGAAAGAACGTTAAAATGAGAATATTGGTAATGAAGTCGTTTAAGTCGAATAGGTGTATATGTGAAGTCAAGAATTGTTGAAACTAACCTAATTTAGTTCTGCCACCTTCTCCTCTTAACTCCTGTTTCTGCTTCTAATATGTCTCTAACTAAAAGGTCTCCTATCAACGTATCTAATTTTTAACCTATTGCTATATCATCTACAAATCTAAGCGTACTAATCATTTGCCTGTGTATATCTATCACTAAAGTTGTCCTGTCTTTAATGATTAAAAAGCAGCTGTGATTAGAGATGTGCAAAATGGTTTTTGAAAAGTATTTAAATACAAAATGCAAATACATTTTTGATTTGTTATTTCAAATGTAAAATCAAATGCAAATGGTCATTTGCAGGTCAGGTCACCTTATAGCAATTGAAAGTGTTAAAAATTTTTAATCGGAGGTATGTTGGAGGTGTATTTTAAATGCAAGTGTTTCAAATAAATCACATCTCTGCTCATTTGTCCTTGTATATCTATCACTAAAATGGTCCTGTCTTTAATGATTAAAAAGTAGGGGTTTTAGTGTGCATCCTTGTCTGGCTCCTTTTCTAATATTTATTTCTCTACGTTGCTGCTCTAGCTCTATAACTATCTGTATCTGTATCCTTATGCAAACTTTATATCCCTGTATCTCATCCCTACATTTTTAAGTTTCAATTCACCTATTACTGCATTGAAGTCTCCTACAGGTATTAGGTTTTTCTGCTCTTTCACTAAAGTTAAATCGTTTTCTATATCTGCATATACAGCTTCTACGTTTTCATCATTGTAAGGTAATGTAAGCATATAGACCTGTAGTATTACCGTTTTTACCGGTTTTTAATTTAATCGTAACTATCCTATTGTTTTTTGTTTTTTTTTTAATAACTTTCTACACTCTGATCGGCTTTCTTATGCATTATTCTAGAAGTCACTCTGGAAGTCTCCAGCTTCTGGCCAACGGACTTTACTGATACTTACTATATCTAATTTTAGTCTATCCATTTCAACTTTCAAATATTGTAACTTCTCTTCTTGTTTCATTGTTCTAATATTCCACGATCCAACCCGTGAAATATTGCATCATCCCTTACCGCATTTAATGATATTATTCCACGATCCAATCCGTGAAATATTGCATCATCCCTTACCGCATTTAATGATATCCCCCGAGGTAGTCCTCGCCCGGACATTTGACTGGGTTTTGGAGTGTTATACTTGGGGTATCATAATGTGGTGGTTTCCCGTCGTCATTCACATCGCAATGTTGTGCATCAAAATGCCATGCCGATCCACGTAATCTCTGTCATCCTGAGTACTGAAAAAAGGCTGCTGTCCTCTTTCAGAGACTTGTCTTTTTCTGATTTCTTATTAAGAATCCTTCCACTATGACTGTAGCTATGGTTCGGTTCCCTGAATCATCCAAACGCGGGAGCTGATTCACCAATTCAAGTTTCTATAAGATCGTCAATGTTCAAGTATCGTCAGATCTCTACTCCTCTTAACTTCTGTTTCTGCCTCTAATAAGTCTCTGACTAGACCTTCATGCCTGAGAAGGTGTCCTACTAACGTATCTCGCCTATTTTTTATTGGCTTCCATAGAGTCCTCTGTTCTCCTATTCATTCTCATACCTATTCATTTTTAAGTCTCTCTATCCACGGTATCCTCATCGTTCGCCTTTAACACCACATTTCGAACGCATTTAACTTTTTCTTTTCTGCCGCGCCCACCATCCATGTTTCACATCCGTACAGCGCCGCGCTCCAAACATACACCTTTAACAATCTTTTTCGAATTTCTATTCTAGATGTCACTCTGGAAGTCTCCAGCTTCTGGTCAACGGACTTCACCGATACTTACTATATCTAATTTTAGTCTATCCATTTCAACTTTCAAATATTGTAACTTCTCTTCTTGTTTCATTGTTCTAACGTTCCACGCTCCAATCCCTTACTGCACTTAATGATATCCCCCGAGGTAGTCCTCGCCCGGACATTTGACTGGGTTTTGGTGTGTTATACTTGGGGTATCATAATGTGGTGGTTTCCCGTCGTCATTCACATCGCAATGTTGTGCATCAAAATGCCATGCCGATCCACGTAATCTCTGTCATCCTGAGTACTGAAAAAAGGCTGCTGTCCTCTTTCAGAGACTTGTCTTTTTCTGATTTCTTATTAAGAATCCTTCCACTATGACTGTAGCTATGGTTCGGTTCCCTGAATCATCCAAACGCGGGAGCTGATTCACCAATTCAAGTTTCTATAAGATCGTCAATGTTCAAGTATCGTCAGATCTCTACTCCTCTTAACTTCTGTTTCTGCCTCTAATAAGTCTCTGACTAGACCTTCATGCCTGAGAAGGTGTCGTACTAACGTACCTCGCCTATTTTTTATTGGCTTCCATAGAGTCCTCTGTTCTCCTATTCATTCTCATACCTATTCATTTTTAAGTTTCTCTATCCACGGTATCCTCATCATTCGCCTGAAACACCACATTTTGAACGCTTCTTACCTTTTCTGTTTCGCACCCGTACAGCATTGCGCTCCAAACATATATTTTTAACAATCTTTTTCGAATTTCTAAATCAACCGTTCGCGAGCATTGAAGTGACTCCTTTTTATTGAAGGAGACTCGACCCTGTGCTATCTTCTGCTTTATATCCCTACTACTCCTTTTGTCTTGACTTATCTGACTTCCTAGATACCTAAAATTTTTCGTCTCCTATCTTTATATTCGCTCTTTCCCTACTTTTTGTTTCCTTGCATACCAGTATTTGTTGTGTTTTACTTTTATTTATTTTGATACAATACTGATTTGTCAGTACCGCTTTCATTTTATTTAAAGCTACCTCTAACTCGTCCTTGCTAGATGCTAATATTGCTATATCATCTGCAAATATGAGTGAAGTACCTACACCAGGGGTCGGTAAGTAATTTTAGGTGGGGTTCAGATGTTTCTGAAAATTTTTATTGAGGTCCTTCCTACCTTCCTCCTTATAATTCAACTTTAATTAATCACGTTATCATCATGATAAAGTCGTCAGTCCTAAGATTGGTTGGACACGCACTTCCACTCTTTCCTATCCTGAGCTAATCTTCGCATTTACCTAAAACTAAAACAACCCACATCTTTAACTGTTTGTGGTGATCTAATCTAGGTCTACCTCTACCTCTCCTAATTCCCGTTTCTGCCTGTCTCTGACCAGACCTTCATGCCGGAGAAGGTGGCCCACCAACCTATCTCGCCTATTTCATAATGACTTCCGTATAGTCCTCAGTTCTCTTATTCTTTCTAATACCTCTTAATTTCTAACCTTCTCTATCCACGGTATCCTCATCGTTCGCCTTTAACACCACATTTCGAACGCATTTAGCTTTTTCTTTTCCGCCGCGCCCACCATCCATGTTTCACATCCGTACAGCGTCGCTCTCCAAACATACACCTTTAACAATCTTTTTCGAATTTCTATATTAATTGTTCGCGTTAATCGAAAAAAAGTAGCATAACCTGACGATATGGTCAAAGTAACAGATGATAGAAGAGCCAGAAGGCAATAAACCGTGCGATAGTGAGCGCGTAATTCATTAATAATTTTGATGTAAATTGAAGAGTAATTAGTTAAATAAATTGGTAGTAGTGCGAAAGGTGTTTTATTACACGATAAAATGTATAAAACGTACATATTACGTAAAGGGATAGGTATATGTCAATAAAATCAAAAGCATTTGTTTTGCTCTATAGTGAGTACTAAGTTTTTTGATATTTTTAGTGATGTTGATGAAATTTTAGTAAAATACTTAACTTAAGTCATTTAAATCATAAATGTAATGAATAACATAAAGAATTAGGGATTATTGTAAAATTGGTGGAGGTGCCGGGTAATTATTACTTTACATGGAGTAATGCGCTTCTTTATCGAAAGATCTTTTTGAGACTTGCAATGAAGGTAACAAGACAATGTTCTAGAATGAAGATGAAGCTAATGCCAGCTTTAATTTATGAAACCGCCTACATATTTCGAATAAAATATATATTGAAATTTTTCAAACTTCAAGCAAAAGAATAACTTTTTTTAAAAAAGTAAGAATCTACATAGAAACTTTGAGTCTAATTTTTAACTATTTACAACTCCCTTATATTTCATCATCATCATCATCATCATCATCCTCAACATCATAAGGTCATCAGCTCTTAAAGACTGGTTGGACACGTACTTTCCCTCTTTCCTATCCTGACCTAAGCTTTGCATTTTTCTAAAACTAGAACATCCCACATCCTTAACGATTTCTAAACACTAATCTAACCTAGGTCTACCTATCCTCCTCTTAACTCCTGTTTCTGCTGTGAATATGTTCTCTTATATTTACTTGTGTATTACGTAAAGGATAAGTATATGTCAATAAAATCAAAAGCATTTGTTTTGCTCTATAGTGAGTACTAAGTTTTTTGATATTTTTAGTGATGTTGATGAAATTTTAGTAAAATACTTAACTTAAGTCATTTAAATCGTAAATGTAATGAATAACATAAAGAATTAGGGATTATTGTAAAATTGGTGGAGGTGCCGGGTAAATATTACTTCGCACGGAATAGTGCGCTTCTTTATCGGAAGACCTTTTTGAGACTAGCAATGAAGGTAACAAGACAATGTTTCAGAATGAAGATAAACTTAATAGCAGCTTTAATTTATTAAACGGCTCATATATTTCGAATAAAATATAAATTGAAATTTTAAAACTTCACGCAAAAAATAACTTTCTTTTAAAAATTAGGAATCTACATAAAAACAGTCTAATTTTTAATGATAACTTATTTAACTAGCTTAATCTTACAACTCCCTTATATTTCATCATCTACATCATCATAAGGTCGTCAGTTCTAAAAGACTGGTTGGACACGCACCTCCACTGTTTCCTATCCTGATCCTATTTCTCTAAAACTAGAACGTCTAACTAGGTCTACCTCTAAACCTCTTAACTGCTGTTTCTGCTTCGAATATGTTGTCTTATATTTACTTGTGGATTTTCTGATTGTGATTTATTTATCTAAATAAGTGGAAACTAAGTGAATAAATAAGGACCAGACATTCGATAGTGAAATTGGAACATACTTATTAGTCACCAAAACATCCCTAAACAGGGCAATTGATGCTGTTACAAATAAAAGCCGACGATTTTAATAGGATGACCAATATATACCCCGCTACGGTACAGCCCCATTCTGAGGAAAAGTTGGTGGTAGGTTGGCATTATTGTTAATTGTTAATTTTATACGACGACGAATACACTCGAGATTACAATCACCAAAAATACGAAACATTAATAATTATTTACGTAAATGATCCACATATTCAGGCATTTAAGCGAATTAATACATGAGTGTGTTCGACCTCGACGTCGTCGTGACGTACGGCGTCGTCGTCGACAAGAATGGAGTCGTCGGTTAAGGGAGCGCGTGCGCCGCGACGCTAGCGTCGCGACGTGGACTCGTATCCCGGGTCGTAAGTAGTTTCGCGACGACTGCCGTGTTGCTGTTAGCAATGACGAGCTGATGTCCATCAGAAGCTCCCAAAGTGCAATCGGAGTGCAGTTTTGTGGATAACAATTTTTTGACCAGTGCGATGCCGGTTGAACGTACAATACGTCCTCGAGCCAAGGACTACTTACTACCCCGTGTACTTGTGGAAGAAGACGTGAAACATTACCGCGACCGAACGAAAATCTCATCCACCGTCGTCGCTGTCGGTTCAGTGTAAAAATAAGTCAGTCGCTTGCCACACTGCGTAACTAGGTATGCAACAAGCTAATCAGCAGCATGTGGGCAGTGGCGGCGGCGCTGGTGGAGACGCGAACGGTGGCACTTCCGCCGGCGGCCTTATCACCTCTCCAGCCGCGACGGGCGCCACTGGCACCGCTACGGCGGCCAAAAGTAACATGAATGGAGGCCGTTTCGACTTTGACGACGGCGGTACGTATTGCGGTGGCTGGGAAGACGGGAAAGCTCACGGACACGGAGTTTGCACCGGCCCGAAAGGACAGGGCGCCTATTCTGGGTCTTGGCACTATGGCTTCGAAGTTTCTGGCGTTTATACTTGGCCCAGGTAACGTAATTCTCAAATTATAAGAATTATGTACAATTACACGTTAACCACTCGTTACGTCGGAGGCGTCTTCCGGAAAGTAGTTTGCTGATAGTCGAATGTACTGTCATTCCCCTATACGTCTACATTCAATTCTGCCTAGGCGATACAGAAACTGGCTAGATACATCTTGTATTTGGTATTATATTAGGGTGGCTAATGTTCAGCTATATTGTAAAGGGGAATATACTTTCACCGCACTTGATACGCACCACATTCAAGGTTTATCTAATTAAGAAGTTGAGATAATAACATATATATGTATATGTATCTACAAACTATTAAAACATCCCTGACTTATTCGCTATAGCAACTCAACCCAACCTTTAAAATATTTTCAGAGAAAACAATGGGTACATACAGGGGCGCAACAACGTTACAGTTTGACTGGGTGCTCCCATCATAATACTATAAATCAGGCCTTCTTAAACTATGGGTCGCGACCCCAAATGGGGTCGCATAGCAAAATTCTGGGGTCCCAAGAGATTTGAATGTACATTGTTACCTAATAAATAAACCATCAAAGAATATTTATTTATCTTTCTTGGGGTCGTGAATGAAAAAAGTTTAAGAAGCCCTGCTATAAATAAAAATAAAAAAGGTCACCATTGTATTGAATTTCTTATACTTGAAAAAATGGAGTTCGGCTGCTAATTTACGAGCTTGAACTATTTGAACCTAACTTTCAAGTAGGGTTATTATCTGATTCGACTGGAATTGACTGGGTGCCCAACCCAATCGAGTGGGTGCCCGTGCACCCGTGCACCCCCTCGTTGCGCCCCTGCGTACATGCATACATGATAAGACTTTGCATTAATCGAAATTAAACAAAAGGATCGTTCCTTAAGAATTTTTATCATGTTAATTCGGAAAACACAATTTTAACAAAGATTTTCCAGTTTCATATTGGCTTTAATCTGCCATTTTATTGGACTGATTTTTATAAATATTTTTGTCTGTTACCAGCTTTATTACCCCCGATGACTAGGTGTTTTACCTCTGTAAGGGTAATTTTCTCTATAAATTCGGAACCCAGACATTAGAGGTTGTAATATATAACTTGCAATGGAACTATAGCTACCGTAAGTTAGTTGCTTTTATAAACACCTAGTTGGAATTGAAAGTAGCGATTTATTCGAACTGGTTGCGACATTCACATTGAATGACTAACACAGGAAAAATTGGCATTCAAATTTGCACCATACAATACATATAGGAACAGGAGTGTCGTCCTTATTCAGTGTTTCTGTTGAAATGTTAATAGCGCATTAGGGTTTACGTACATATTGATGTTTAATTTTTTAATTGAAGAATAAAAAGCAATTGAAGGGGTAAAGGTTTTTTTTATTATATTATATAATCTATCATTAATATTTCACTTTAAAATTATGGTAAGATATTATATATCCCATCTTGTAGATGCTACGGAAACATTTACCAGAAACATCAATAAATTTCACCCTTAGCAAACATCCAATTTTATAAATAAATACAACAACTGACAACCACATTTTAAAAGAATAAATACACATAGTAATTAAAATGGTAATACAAGGTATTTCCTGTATTTGCTATTTTAAACTGACAGTTGTCATTTTTTCAAAAAATTGTTATATTGATTGTTTGATTATTAGCTAATGTTAAAATTTATTGATATTAGGGTTAATGTTTCTGTAATAACTATAAAATGAATTGTATGACTTCCATAAGCTTACCCTTTTCAACTTGAGAGGAGAAACGTTGGTGGTAGATTTATCCCAGAACTGCTTTTCATTCTTCAATATTGATACTTTTGGGGAAGATTTAGAACTACGTTTAATTTTAAATATGTTAATAGTCAAAACACTGTTTGAATTTGAAATTAGATTTATTTTGTGCATACCTTAAGTGGCTGCCTATAAACGATACCTCCTACAGTGTTTCATAATCTGTGGTCTGCAGAAACCTGGGGGTCCGCGAGTATATGTACAGGGGTCGGCCGCAGTCTCACCTATTCAGCTTTGAAACTCAATTTCAAAGAACATCCTTTTTATCAAGTTTTTGAGTGATTATAAGGAAATATCAGATCAAGCACTGAAACATTTACTGCTTTTCTCAACCACATACCTCTCTGAAAAAGCATTCTCTTCTCTTTTGTATATCAATAACAAATACAGAAACAGATTTCAAGTGGAATCCAATTTGAGATTACAACTTAGTAGTAACATCAACCCAAATATCAGCAACTTAGTTGCGAAGAAGCGACACCAACCTTCACATTAACATATTTTTTTATGAATATGTTTTTTTTTTGTATTTGCAGTACTAAAATAAATGGTCTGAATTGTTGTTTTTTTTGTATATTAAGGGGTCCTTCGACTTGTGCTTGATTTCCTAGGGGTCCGTGGACGGAGAAAGGTTAAGAACCATTGCTCTACCAGCTTGGACATCCTCTAACACAACATGGTTTTTAAAATTTTTGAAATTAAATTTTTGCAAAAAGGATTTGTTTCTTCTGTAACAATTAATATACGGGTAATTAGCCCGTTTTTTGCAAGCTGTCTATCACAGGAAATATTTCATCATGAGTTTGATTGTTGCATATATTGGTAATAGATATTTATGTACTTTTACATTGTCTTCTTCGATCCAGTCGGCATCTTTCAAAAAGTTGCTCAGGCCCCCCTTTTGATGTCATATATTAAATTCTAGCATTGCATAGTGTTAATGTGTTTTTTTGAATCTTAATTAAGTAATGGGAATTTATAAATAATATTAACTCCACTGCTCGCGAAAACGATTAATTTAGAAATTCGAAAAAGGTTGTTAAAGGTGAATGTTTGGAGCACGGCGTTGTACGGGTGCGAAACATGGACAGTGGGAGCGGCGGAAAAGAAAAGGTTAGAAGCGTTCGAAATGTGGTGTTATAGGCGGATGATGAGGATATCGTGGGTAGAAAAGGTTAGAAATGAAGAGGTATTGGAAAGAATAGGAGAACAGAGGACTCTATGGAAGTCAATAAAAAATAGGCGAGATAGGTTGGTAGGACACCTTCTCAGGCATGAAGGTCTAGTCAGAGACATATTAGAGGCAGAAACAGAAGTTAGGAGGGGTAGAGGTAGACCTAGATTAGATTACTCTTCGCAAATAGTTAAGGATGTGGGCTGTTCTAGTTTTAGAGAAATGCGAAGTTTAGCTCAGGATAGGAAAGAGTGGAGGTACGTGTCCAACCAGTCTTAGGACTGATGACCTCATGATGATGATGATTTACTCCACTTTACTAAGTAAGACCAAATGTTCTGTAACGTACCTACGTAACTTAATAAAAACCAAAATAAAATAAGTAGAAAAAGGACATGGTAATAATTAAACAAAAAGGGCTTACTCCATTATTACAGTACATGTTTTAGCTTCTTGTGGAAGTTATACGTTGAAAAAAACCTTTTTAACATTTTATGTTCTGAATGAAATGAGAGATCTTACTTGCTATTTGCCTCATTAAAATCCGTTTGTTCGAAAATAATGAACCCTAATACTTTTTGGCACATGCGTAAGTTACTTAATTACTAAAAAATCACATAAGAACTTGGCTGAATAGAAATTATACAAATTTATGGCAAATAAAATTGAATAAACCGAAATAGGTACAATAATATGATTAAAAAAAAAAAATGAGGGCAATGTGGGAAGACTACGATTTTTTGGTAAGTTGTGTTTTAGGGTACCTGATAACATATTAAAAATTCAAATCGTTATTAGACTTTTTCAAATTTGACCATTTATTAATGCGTGTATTTGGAGGGCGAGGTAGATATCCTTCGATTGTATCATACTGTGTCTACGTGGTGCTCTCAGTAATATATTTTTTTTTAATTTAGAGGTGTGGTACAGACTTTTTGATTTTATTTATTTATTTTTTTGGTTCTGAAGGGTACCTACTGATGGCAAATCTGCAGTGCCTTTAGATTGCGCTTATAGCTAAAATTGCATATATTTTCATGAAATTTCAAAAATATAGGAAATTAAAATTCAGTTCAACCTTTTCATGTGAGTTTTTGTTAATTAATTACCTAATACACATTAACAGGTACCTACTTATAGAAACATTAATTAAGTGCTCCTTTCTAATAATTTTCCTATTTAAAATAAAATAAGGTCAAGAAATATTCGATTTATGACCAAAAGCGTGCCAAAAATATTCGTTCTTAATAAAATAGAGAGTGTTGTAGATTTAACTGAAAAAATAAAATGATACGTCCATCTTTTGACAGTTACAATTAAAAAAAGAAGGAAGAAAAAGTAAAAGCTTTTAATTTTTGTTCGTGTTTACTTGCGATGATTGTGGACAAAAATAAAATTGTGCTGTCTATTTTAAAGAAGTGGGTTAATGAAATTAAATCATTATGTTTAACAGTAACACCGTAAGGCACCTGTAATTTAAGGTCAGCTTCAAACAATTACAAGGAATGTTTGGGAAACATAATGCGGTCAGAAAATTTGGCAACTTTCCTTTTGGATTAGAGAAGCGGTGGGCGGATATTTTTGTTTTACAGTATATTACACCAACTGATGGCCATGAATTACAAAGGCGACTATTTAAAACGGATTCTTTACTATTGAGAAACTAATCTAGTACATCCAGAAAATCTTCTTATTTATTATAATAAAAACCAAAAATTGCAACAGTCTATTTAAATGCAATGGTGCTGGAAGATTCAGCTTTCATGAAGGTCGCATATGAATTTCAGGGACTTCGCATGCGGCGTCGAGGACATACATTCCCTACCCAATGGCTAAACTATTGTTTACTATTTGGAAGAATACGGGTCCAGTTGCCCTGGTCGTTTTTTATATATTATTTAAAACCTTATATCAGTAGAAAGGGCTTTTTTGGAAAACAGTTGAATATCTCAAAAACTACTAAAGACGGGTATAGGGAACTGTTAACAAAGTCAATCTAAAATTAAACAAAGAAACCAAAAGTATATAGGGTGTTCCATTAAAAAAAAACGAAGTTAGTAGCATTCAGAAGAAATGGAACACTCTGTATAATTGAAGATATTTTCTGTTTATGCACTATATGATTCCAGACCACTTTTATAAAATCATCTTTTTTAATCAAATGTATAATAACAGAGTTATTGACGAAACCTTCTTGGGTAGAACACCCTGTGTATTATGTGAAGGGAATTCTTTAAAAATAGAATTCGGTATGGAACTACCATGAAATAAAGGTCAAAGAAATATTGTGTTTGCTAAAATTTATGATTTATAAAGTGATCTCAGAAATTAAAAAAAAAGATAACATGACAATATTTATGCTACTCAATAAAATAACTTTCCTAATCCGAACTTCTACAATGCTATTAGTTAATTACGTTCGAGTTAAGGAAACTTTATACAAAAATTGCAACAGTCTGTTTAAATGAAATGGAAGATTCAGCTTTCATGAAGGTCGCATAAGAATCTTACGGACGCCGCATGCGGCGCCGAGGACATACATTCCCTACCCAGTGGCTAGACCACTGTTTAGCATTCGGAAGGGTACGGGTCCCTGGTCGTTTTCCTGTAGTTTTGTTGGATTATTTAGAACAGCGTTTCCTAATACTTTTTGCACTGCAATGAACTCCTTATGTATCTCACGTTGGGGAATACGGGGTTGGATAAATATTGGAGCATAATTAAATCTTTCACTTATTTTATGTTTTTCCATCAGCACCACGTACCAATTTCTACGATTATAAAGGGAGGGGAGGGGGTGAAAAGGGGTCTTCCGCCCTATTTTACAGCTATGAATCTTAGTGTAGGTCTGAGGGTTTGGTCACCGGCGCTCGTACTAATGATGAACAAAGCAAAACCAAGATCAAGACTGTCCCAGTCTTGGTATTGGTTTTGGTCTTAGTATTGCTCAAATACTTCTAGTCTTGGTCTTGTCTTGCGTGCTAAGTCTTAGTCTTATTCATTTAATCTGTTATGGTTGTGAGAGAATTTATCCTTGATCAATGCATAAAGTGACCTTTTCTTCAACACATAAATTGACCTTTTAGCGAACACAAGGCATTTGAAAGAAGTAAAAAATATGGAAAAAAAATAGTTTCCCTCTATATTCCAACCATGTGTTATCTAGACATAAGAACAAAGAACACTTACTTCGAGGACATTTTTGTAGATCCCTTTTTTCAAACAGTGGTAAAGTTACTTTTTTTTTATATTTAATGTTAAAATCTGGTAAAGCAAACTGAAAATTTCAAATATCAAAAATGTTTTCTTCAAGGAAAAGAAAATACTAAAGTTGATACAAATAGTTTAACTCCTAAATCCACCGGAATTAATAATTTTTCGTCTTGCGTATTTAGTCTTAATCTTGCATCCCGGTTTTAGTGTTGATCTTGTTCGTTCGTTGTTGAGTTTAGTCTTGGTCTTACCAAATTTGTTCATGACTAGCTTGTAGCCATTGGAAATTAAACTGTCATTACTTTTTTGTTTCTTCGGGCAGTTCGTACCGAGTGGCGTAATGTAGTAGTTAGATCACTGTTTAGCATTGAGGAAGAGCATAATTTCTATCAAAAGTTATCATAAGCTTTATGATTATACACTAACTGCATGTAGTTATCTCCATCAAAAAAAGGAAAGTCCTATACGGTAATTTTATAGAGAAGAAAGGTTTATGAGTTTGTCATTCGGGGGTACAACTACGGAACTGATTTCAATATCTTTTTTACTCTTCGATGAGTGTTACTTCCATTTAAGACATAGGCTATCATCCATTCCAGACGATTTTAGAGGAAATAGTAAAATAATTGGCAAGAGCTAGATAAACATTTGAGTGAGTGAAATGGAGAAATTCGAGTCCATAAAATACGTCACTCACAATTTTACCTTTTTGGATCCCTCCCTTCCCCTTCGTCACGTTAAATTACACTTTCAGCAATTCTTCTAACAAATATTATGTCACAAAGGCTAACCCACCCCCTACAAGTGCATACAGTCTGAAACATTAATTATATTACTGACTATCTACTATATTACAGGCTTTTAAGTATTGAATGAGAATGACTTTCTATCGTAATGAAAACATTTAAGAAAAAAATTAATATAGAATCGATGAACTACGGATGCTAAGCCCTGCCCTTACTTGCGAACGTATTTCATGAAGTCCCTAAAGGGTTTGTACGTTAAGAGAACAAAAAATATTCGAATTAATTTCGAGCTGTAGAAGTTTGACTATCGGTTTTTAAGTTTTTAATAAGTACTTGATAAATATATATCAGTAGGAAAAATTAAAACAGTTATATATATATA